TGGTGATTATGATGAAGATGATGATGATAATAATAATGATGGTATGGTCATGAGGATGATAATGATGATGATGAGGATGATGCCCATGAGAATGATCACAGCAGTGGGGATTATAATAATGAGAATGATGGTATAATGGCACCCCTCGGTCGTCGTCACGATGCGATTCTAATAACGAACGCAACGTGACGACGTGCACGAAAGATCGTTTTTAATGAAGATCCGTTCAGATGCCACCGGCAATCGCAGCAGACAGTGACGTGTCGTCTAGCGTTCACCGGGAGCTCACAGGGAGCGGAGTTGGATGAGTTCCCGGCTTAATGCGTCTATATTGGTAGTTCATTTATTATATATATTTTTTATTTTATTGCTGTATGTAAAACATTGTAAATGTTTTGAGATTACATTTGTTCTTAATTAATTAAATTATTATTACATTAAAAAGAATAGTTTTCTCGCTAAAATGGACGCCATCTTAGAATTTGTCGTGATGACGTCATCATTCTGTTTAAATTTCTGATGGAGAGTGAAGAGTTTAGTGAAGTTCTTGTTACATTTCATATCCACAGAATATGTAAAAGTGACTAAAAGCATATGAATTCATTTCCCCTACCCCTATCTTATTCCAAAATAGGATATTTTAGGCCAAAATTTCAAAGTGCTAAAAGAAATTGCCCAAGACTTAGAAATGAGGATTTTTTCTGAGACAGCATTGTTATGGTATACTGATTCAGAAAAACCTAAACATTCATTTTCCTTTACTTTTTCCGGTTTATTTTCTACTCAGGCTATTATCGTCACATCATTACCCCTGTCTTGGGATTAAACACACAAACTCAGCTCCCTAGGGAAGTATAAGGAATTTAGGACCTTGGGATTTGAAGGCAAAAATTTAAATCACCGACCTACAGCGCCATTAAATGTACCAGATACAGTACATTTAAAAGAGATTCTCACTTTAATAGACCTTTCCGGAGTGTCAATCAAACTTAACAACTGACTAATCAGAACAGCGCTAGGAATACGCGCGCGTCTCACAAACACACGTGTTGTCCCACAAACGTTGTATGTTTTAACCATAGAGATATAATAACACTGTCGCCTTGTGGGACCTTAGCAACAATATCCAAGGGGCGGGGCTTAGCGGAAAGGTCCATTGCAGCCATTAACTGTTGCAATGAAAGTCAGAGATTCTTACTTTAGAAATTTCTCCAGCATGTTCAATCTTCTATTATTGGTTTCAATATTTCTCAGACGTTTTGTATCTGTGTTTATGTTTTTCAGTTCTTTAGTGCAGTTAGGTTAGGTTAGATTAGGCGGTCTTGCCTTTTTCTAACATATTTTTAAAGAAATTAATTCCCTGTATTTTCTATAATTATAATTCTCAGATAGTTGGGCAGCAGGTTGTAAACTATACGAACACAAAAAATGTCAGAAAGCTCCACTCAGAGAATAGCAACATAATCAAAATAAATGTTCAAGTGAAGAACTAAGCCTTGTATGAGCAAATGACGAAATCGCTTGCAGCTTATTTAGGTTTTGCTAGCAGATGGCAATTTTTATTGAAGAAGTCGATGCAAGTCTAGACCTAGGCGGCCTACATCAAAACATGTCAAAATTTCTAGCAGACGACACAGTTACAGTAAAGAGGAGAATCTGTTCACATCCTTGTAGTCACAATATAAAGAGAACGTTAAAACAATAAGAAATTACATTCGGTGTATACTAAAATGTTAGTATTAAGGCCCAATAAAAAAATTATTAGTTTATCACCCTCGCGCGCATGTCTTTTATGGTACTTAATTTTTTTAATTTATTTTTTTCATTTATTTTATTAAATAGTTAGTAGATATTATTTGCATTTGCTAAATAATGTTTTACTTTGAATCTCAATGCACCAGCAAAAAACCCAAGGTTGATATTTGGCTTTAGCAAAATAAAAACCTCCCTCCCTCATCACTTTCCTGCCCAGATAGGGTGATAAACTAATAATATTTTTGTAGGGCCTAATATAAACATAAAAATATGTATAATACGCATACTTTTTAAAACAATTAAACATAATGGTAATACTGATAAACAAATTAAATAACATTATTTAAATGAAGCATATTTAATAATACAGGTATGTTATGCTACCAACAACCTTAACAGATAAGTTTAAATAAAAGTAGACGTAATAATTATAGAAGAGAATCATTATGGTTACTGACCTTAAAAGTACTGTAGAAGTACAGAAATAATATTTCCGCTCATTGTCGGGTTTTTTTGTTGTGTTGATGCAGACAAAACATGGTTATACAGAATGATTAAGGAAATAGGTTGATATCGAAATTCCAAAAGAGCGAAAATAATAAAGATATCCTGTTTTCCTTCATTTATTTCTTACGCAAACCCGGATTTAAACTTTTTAAAACGTTTCTACAATGTGTTTTTAGGCGCAATCAGTAGCGTTGCATGAAGATTCAATTAGTCATTTGATTGGATAACGCTTTTGTATCATCGGCACAACTAGTGTAACCTTACAACGACTAGACAATCATTAATTGGTATAGAGAAAGCACAAAATAAAAAATAAAAATATAGGCCTAGTATGTTCGGCCTTATGACGTATAATGAACATAACTTGATAAAAAAAAAAAAAAAATCAGTAGGAAAACTAGAAAAAACACATCGAAATAAAAAATGGAACATAGTCGGGGTGGGGGGAGTGGGGAATAAATCCCCGGGTGGAAAAAATCTCATGGAGAAATTAGGTGGCAAGTAGCCATAGTACAATCTTTAAAAAATTTACACTGGCTCATCAATTTAAAAAAAAGACGTGCTATTTTTTCAAGATTTTAGTTGACTTTCAAATTAACTTTCATCAACCTGTTTATTTACTCCATCACTTTTCCCAATATATTTCTCTTCGTCATTTTCTTTCTTCATCTAAAAATGTATTGACAGTTCCATCTCGTAAAGGCAAATCAAAGGCTTACCATAATTTTTTCATACTTCATGGTGCGTAATTGTTTACTTATTTCGCAGCATGCGCTTTAGCTCACAGGACGTAAGGTCAACTTCAACTTCCGTAGGTGATCGTCATTATAAGCTCCGCCCATCTACCAATACTCTATGGAACGCCAAAAGGTATGGAACGCCAAAAGAAAAAGCAGTGCAAAAGTCAAGTGTCACAGTGCGAATGTTGAGTGGCGTGGTGCAAAACTAAAGTGGCGCAGTGCAAATGCGTGTGCCACCACTTGACTTTTGCACTGCGTCAATTGACTATTGCACTGTGCCAACTGACGTTTGCACTGCCACTTGCCTATTGCACTGCGCCACTTGTGGTTGTCCTTTTGGCGATATCACGCCAAAAGGACAAACAACAATCAGCATTCAACCGGCTCCGACCCTTTCGTTATGCCACTGGATGGTGTGCTATTGTAACTTGCATTTAAGCCCTCCAGCTGAAACACAAGGAAAGCAGCGATGGGAATTGAACCAGGGACAAAGAGATCTCCACGGTTCAGCGCACACCCGGTTTAGCTGACTAAGCCAAACTGCTGTCTCCCCCTCTCCCCACCCCCTCTCTCTTTCTCTTATTCACCTCGAAATAATATTGGGGACATATACTGTAGTGTTAAACACATTACTGCTGATTTCATATAGGCCTATGAATTATGCGTTGCAAATTATTGCTATAAATTAGTTTTAATTCAAGTGTAACTCATTCTTAGGTCAATGAAATAAAATTATAAAGAGTTCATGTCATCGTTGTATGTATGATAACATAATATTTCTGTGTATTTTGAAACACAAATACTATTCAACAAACGGCGCGGTGCGGCACTGGGTATAGCGATGTTTTATCAAGGTCATCAATTCGTAAATAGGATGACAACGGCCAAAAAAAATTGAAGGCAATAGCCAACATTTCATCAAATTATTGTATTAAAAATGTTTTGTTTCGATGATTTCTTAAAATCTACTGATTTTAAAAAGTGTTTATTTTAACACTTTCTCTATATTTTTTTTGGAGACCCATATGCGATCTGACAACCCTCAAAAATTCACTCATGACCCAAACTTGGGTTTTTATACATATATAATGTGCATGTGAGTGTGTGTATAATATGCTGATTAAGTAGGATACCATAAAAAGTACATGGTTTTTTTATAATGATAAATAGTAGGCCTATTTAATAAAATGTCATTTTAGGGAAGATCTTAACGATCTCGTGTCACAAGAATTTTCTTTCCATTCGAAAAGTTAACATTATAAACAACATGTCGATTTTTTTTAACAAAAAATGTAATTTTCTTGTCAATTTTATATAGGGATGTTGTTTATAGTGATTACTCGGCATACGAACAATCTCAATGATAAATTTTCTATTTTTTTTTCCCCCACGCGAGTCCGAACATGCGGTTAGTAACATGAATTTCCTTTCTCATTAAAAGAAGTACAGAAAGGAGTAACAGACAATTTCATATAACAGTGATAATAAAACAGTAATCTTTTTTTGAAATTTTCCCTCTTTAGATGATATCATCGACGTCAAACCTGCTTATAGATGTATTTTACTTTATCATAGGCTCTATTGAAAAGTCTGCCATTTTAATGATATGTTCACATAAAAGCATAATCTTGGTGATTTCGTCTGGCCTAATTTAGAAATTTGCAACAATTATATGTTGTTGTGCCAAGACAAACAAATGAAATGATTTCTTTTTAAATGTAAAAAGATACTTTTCTGTGTCCCCTACTACTACACTACGATCGTGTGAGGTGGTAGACCTACTAACACATTGGCGAAAACAGGAATTACTTTGTTTAAAATCATTATAAATTGGATGAGTTTTCACTTCAATTCTATAGACTTATTATTTGAAGTCCTTTAAAAAAATTCATGAATAGTGTGTTCGACACCACCGAATTGATTATAGGCCAACCATAATAAAACCTCCTACCATTCAACTACACATCGATCGATAACGTTCCGGTGAAACAATAGAGGGCCGTTCAAAGAAACCACTGAAATGGAAAAAAAAAATGTCCGATCGTACAGTAATCAGGAAGCAGGTTGTCAAGAGGGTGTCACCATGGTAATAGCAAGCTGGTAGGCAGTTCATCAGCTACCGGTATATGTTTATCACATGTGTAAGTTAAAATACCTTTGTCCCCAGATTGATGGGAGAAAGTTGTGTTTTAATAAGTTGTGTTTTAATTTTAACTAATTTAAACGTTCCAATAACAGGACTTTTCGAGTCCTGGCGTTAGGCCAACACAATGAGTTTCTACTTGTCTTCGAGACGCTACTTTAGAGTGCATCTCCGAGGTTCTGACCCGCTCTTAACCTCCCTACTCGTGCTTAACTAAGAGTTAACATGTTACCTAGTCTGGAATAAAATGCTTTTTTTCCTTTTCATTATTTATAGCAACGCTCTGTTTATAGTTAAGTGTGATTTTTGTTGATGATTTAGGAATAAGTCCAAAGTATCATAAAGTTAAATGTGTAATTTTGTTTTCCTAATATGTTTTGTAGGGTAAGAACTTCTGTCACATGTGCGCATGGTATTGGGTAATCAAAGGCCAAGATAAAGCATTTCATTTTTGACCTGATATCTTATGAATAAAAAATACGCTTGTTATAATATACTTTGTAAACTCTGATTGTTTATGATTCTGTGAGTGATTAATTAGGCCTATGTGTTTGTAGGCCTAAGTAAAAACATGATTTTTAAACCTGAGAAAAAGTTCTCAGTTCTGTTCAGGCTCCGGCCACTGGGAAAAATAAAGGAATTATGAAAACAATGTATTCCATTTCGAACTAATGATCATTTAAATTAGACATTTAAATACTAACCAGTCCATTTCCGCCCTGTCACCACTGGCCACTTGCCCAACGTTCATTACGTCCGTAGCACCCGAGCTGCAAGGGTGAAAAGTTTTTTAAGTGATAAACGTTAGTCAACTACTGTACTCTTTACTCTTAGAACATCTGAATACTATAGTAAAACTTAAGGCGTTCCTTCTGGAGTCCCCCCCCCCAACCCCTGACTCCTATCAATCAACCCCACGGGTTTCTGAATCTTCCCAGGCTCTCCTGCTTGAACAAAATTATAGTCAGCCATCTCGATATTGCCTGTTCGATATACAATACAATGGTGTGTATGTGAATGTTAGATCTTTATTTATTTTTGTGTTCCTTGTAATAGATAATAGCCTGATAATTAGGTTATTTTATGGCTGCCAAGATAGACCAGAGCAGACGTATTGTTGAGAATAATTGCTCCGTGCTATACCCTTTTCGTGACCGTTTACGATCTAAAAATTTATCTTTCACACAACATAACGGGTATTTACTTAACAGTCATTGAGTGTTTATCCTACGTGCAAAGTATATTTACAAGAGTTGAATTGAAGCTATCACTAAAGTGTCGGTCTGGCGGTATCAATTAACTTGATTTGAAAAGCCGTGAAGTTAGGAGTTGCTTAGTAATAATAACCAAGACTGTATCTCGACCTTTTCTTGCATTAATATTATGTTACCACACATTATACGTTACAGCAACATGGTTTCGACGAAAATGGCGGCTCAAGGTGACCATATACAAGAACATTTTGACGTATTTGTGCGTCTACCATCTGGAAAAACTGCTCCGTTGTCAGTGCGATACGATATGACGATCTTCGAATTGAAATCAGTGATAGAGTTCACCGTCGGAATTCCCGTAGAAATACAGAACCTATCGTACAAAAACCGGCTCCTGTATGAAGATGACGAGACGCTGCGCTCCAGTATCATCATCCCAGGCGTCCACATCGCCGTGAACTACCCCTACGGCTGGGAAGATTTGATTGAAGCGTCGCTGGCTGGCGATATTACATCGGTGATTAACGATATCTACCGTCATTTTGATAAGTCTATCGTCGCGCGAAGGAGATCTGTCGTTATGTTTATAAGTTCACATAAGGGATATAACTTCCTGGTGGCAAGGTGCGTACAATTATTAAAATTACGTAATGAAAAATAATCAATGATCACAATATTATATTTTCTAAATCTTAAATCCAAAATTCTAGGTAAAAAAGTTATCATGCTAACGGCCACGAACGATACATGGGATAACTTATTGTATTACGGGGTATAGTTGATATTTTTCAAGCTGAAGCATTTGAAATGTGTAATCCTTATTGCGTTTGTAGTTGACGCCGACGATTGTTTTTAACTTTCAGGACCAAAACGTCACTTTATCACAGCACAGTGTTTGAATAAATTCATTTTGTTTACTCACTGTCATACGGAGCATTTCTTCATGCCCGGGAGCCAAGCTTTTGGTCACAAGTAATCCCTATTTCTCATTTAACTATGCACGCCATCGTGTCGGGATTCAATATTTCGACATTAATTATGTCATCATCATCATTCCCGATGATGTCATTTAACTATATTTTTTCAATACTTTTTAGGATGTTGTCAGACGGTGTGAACCCTAATACTCAGACGGCGACTGGCCGAACATCATTGCACATCGCCAGCGCCATGGGTATGATGAATTGTGTGGGGCTACTTTTACAGCACCATGCTTCTGTGGATATTCACGACAAGTTCGGGTTTACTCCACAGCAGCTGGCTGTGAGATGTGGTCAGAAGGAGGTGGAGAGCAAACTCATTGAATTTCGTCGCATCAAGATTAAATGGGATGGGAAGACAATGAAGTTGAAATTACCGTGGCCACTTGCTACCAATTTCCCCCCAACAAATTTAGGACAGAGTGTTACCCCCGTGATTGATCTCCAGCAGTTGTGTATCAGCCCAGGACCCGAAGAAATCCGTCTGTACCCATTGCCAGGACAACGCCCACGATCAGCAGTTGTGAAGTCCTCTAAGACAACTCCTATTCCCCATGAAACAGATATGCAGGAGAATAGTGAGACAGTCTTACATAAAACGGGTGGTAGACTAGATAACGACAAGTCAAGTGGACATGAATTTAAAAAGAGTGGACGTCGTAGACCTAAGTCTGCATTTATCGTGAAAAGCGATCCCTCGGTAGAGTTTGGTTGTGTGCAAAGTGAGACTAATCCAAAAGAAAGAATACATTTACGTGGGAATGAATCGCATGCCAATAAAAATCATAATAAAGTGGACTTTTATCAGCAATCAACATTAGATAACCAAGAGAAGTAAGTATACGGTACATAGGCCTAATTTAAGTGTATTAATAAGAATCAATATTCTAAATCATATTTGATTTATAGCCAAGTGATTTCATTTATTTCAATCAAAAGTGACCGGATCATAACAACTTAAAGGCCTGTTTATACTTCAACGATAACGATAACGATAAAATAGCTAAAAAGCAATTGTTCATATAGAAAATAAAAGAAATAAGAGAAGTTTGTACACTGAACGATTCGATAACGATGTATCAGTTATGCGATAACAACATATTTTGACAAATAAAATAAGATGACGTCAAAATCATGGAAAAACATTAAAATCCTAGTAGTAGCAACGATTTTATCGTTTTTCTATGATTATGACGTCATCTGATTTGAGTTTTTAAAATATTTTGTTACCGTATCGTATACACGATAAATCGTTATCGAATCGTCCTAGTGTGAAAACTTCTTTTGTTTTCTATATGAACAATCGCTTTTTAGCTTTTTTATCATTATCGTTATCGTTGAAATATAAACAGGCCTTTAGTCTTGTTATAATTTTGCTACTTAAAGATATAGGCAAAAAAGACTTTAAATTTACATTGATTGGTTTTATCTTTGGTTACAGTGTATGCTGCTTTGGTGGGTGCCACGGTTGTGAATATGACAGTATGAATATGAAAACTGAATTTGGCAGCTCAGTTCTCCACAAATCATCAGTCATGTGTCATTCTCACGGTTTACCTAATCCAGTACGAAATCAGGACTCGGCACTCGCCCTCGGATCGTCACATACTCATGAATCATCGCTCGCTCACGAACCGGCACACGCTATTGATCCGTCATGTACACACGAATTATCGACACTCGACTCACCGCACGGGCGTGTATCACACCTACGTGATTCACCGCGCGTGCCTGCGTCATCTCAAATGAACGTCCGTCCAATTATAATTGATCGTTGTCAGTCAGGTCAGACGGAAGAAGAACGAATACGTGAAGCCACAGTGCCAAGGTTTGTATCAGAAAAAGAACGATTTCAATTAAAGTATGGAAAGAAACGAGCAACGGATGAAGAGAATGAACACGCATTCCAACAATGGCTAGCGCTGAAACATCAAGACGCAAAAGATGAAAAACTGATTAGAAAAGTTAGAACGATGTTAAACAAAGTAACAGGGACTAAGGTAGAGGAAGATAAAGAGGTTTCTAAAGAAAAATCGGTTCGTTCAACAAATGTAAAAGCGTTTGATGATTGGCTGATGAAAAAGAAAAAGGCTGATGTAATAAAACGAAGACAGGCGAGCCAGGTTGCAAAAAGTCAGGAATGCAGAATCGCCAGGCAGGGGAAAACATTCAACGAATGGTTGAAAGAAAAGAACAGATCAAAATTAACCATTCGAAGTCCTCCTGTAAGTCAGCAAAGTAAACGCTCAGCAAATGATACCAAACGGTTAGACGCGCAACGTGCATACGATCAGTGGTTAAAGAAGAAACAATGTGAAGAATTAGAATCATTAAAAGCGAGTATGCGGCCACAGTCCGCTTCGACTCTCGCCGAATACACAGATGGTGGACCAACGCACAAAACCAGAATACATTCGGCACAGCATCGGTTAACGAGTCGGTGATAAGCACTACGAGCGAAAATAAATAGGCCTATATCGTTTTAATATTAACGTTATTTAGAGAGTTCATGTGTTACGAACAGGGAGATGGCGAGAGATTTCTTCCTGCTGCTAGAGAAGGGAGTAAGCGCCCCATCACCACTGGATCCGTCACTGATATTTTCATTTGGATGGCACTAATTTAATATGTTATTTATTATATTCATTTATTTATATCAGTGAATGTATGAATATATATAGGCCTAGATAATATATCAAAAATACATAACACTAATTTTGTGGTATATATCATGATCATATAAACAAATTATGTTATATTGTGTATTAATATTAAAGAAGGAATGGAACCTATTAGCATTACAGCTGTTAACACTTACTAACGCTTTTTATAATAAAAACAATTATGAAATACACTGAATGTCACTTTTTTTTCATTTTATTGCTTATAATACTGTGCATACAACTATTGGCAACACTACATATAATCTCAGATAATATTTACAATAATATTTCTTTTATAATTTTTTCTCATATCTAATTTACACTTTTATGTTATAAGTACATTTTTGAAATATTCATTATCTGTACATGAATGAGAATATTCCCCCAAGATAGATAGATCAACAAAATAACCGGTTTTTCTTGGACCCTTTAAAATCTTTATTATATAGTAATTGCTATAAATGTAAAAACAAGGATATGCGAATAATATTCTAACCTGCTTACAATGTCTAAAATATTGCATTACCACATTGACGAATACTTTAAGCAGAAGTTGAAGAACTAAAATCCATACAGTGCTCGCACACGGACGAATTATTACATTTTCTATCGCAGAGAGGTATTTTTATGCATTTTTGACTTTTTTTATAAACTTTAGGAAGCAAGTATAGATTTTTTGTTTATTAATGTGTTTATTGGTAGGAATATAATGACACCAATTGGTTAATTTGACTGCTTAATTAGAGTTGTATATATCCAATTTAATATGACGGGTTGTTCCTGCCATTCACATAGCCCAAGAACAACGCGCCACAATGATTTAATTATGATTATATACCAACACAGCGTAATTGGCATCAATCAATTATTACCTGATTGTGATGACTCCCTTAGACCTAGGCCTATATATATTTCCACGCATGCACAAAAATTACTATTAGCATGTCACAAGACGGTGACAGGGCCTTTGGGCAACAAAGCTATCTGTAAAGCGACTTGGGATTTGGGATCAATATTTAGAAGGCAAAATAAACACAGTACATGACGTTAGGCACATTAATGGATACGGCAAGCAAGACTGAGGATAATACAAATTACTGAACTCTACTAAAGTCATGAACGGTGCAGACGATAGTTGTGTAATAAGTGATCTGGAATGTTTTAAATGTAGGGCCTATGCCAACATGAATAATATCACCACCACAACAGAGAACCGTTCGTCATTCACATAAGTTGTCAATGCGACCAACCCACATTCCCAATTGTCATCTTGATCAGTACCCCCGCCATTACCATTAAATAGCCTCTGGTTAATTAACCAAATGTTACGTTTTTCCTCTTTTCGCTTTTGCACATTTTCATTGTTTTTGGACATAAGGTATAATCACATCAACACCCCGTGTTCTTTCCATACCATCGTGTTAGCTGGACGCACGACAACAACTCTTTGCAATGTAAATTCCAATGGAAACTTTTTCAAAAAACATTTATAATAAAAGTTGCGAAAGGCAAACATAGGCCTATCTCAACCATCATATATGTTCAGGTGGAAGTTCAACATAATGTTCATCTGTGGTAATTAACGTGTTTGCAGATAAATATCGCATATCTGGTCGCATTGGTTGTATGAATAAGTCTGAGAATTGGTGGTCAGGTCTTTCTGTTAACGTAGGAAATTTCTGGTTCACGCCACACTCACTGCAGCCAACTGATATATATTGAAGGGAATTCGGTCTGGGAATGATCATCGGTTCGATGGCAGCCTCGTAGCTCTGTGAATCGCTGACATCTCCGTGACCGGCTGGTTCGTTGCACCCACAGCAGGTACAGATAATCAGAGTGATGAGCAAGAGGAATACAATGGCAAATGCTAAGGCGACGCCGAATGCTGTTCCCATCCAGGTCATCCAACCGTCATCTATCACAATCGGTTTTTCTGTTGGAGCTACGGAAAAAAAATACACAAAGTGATATAAAAAATAACAACTACTGTATAGATTTTTTTTTATTGGGCGATGTCTTCAAATGTAAAATATCTTTTATTTAAGCTGATGATATAACAGTTACAGTATGATGTAATCATTCAACGTTTGCAAAGGATGGACTCGGGGCTCCTAATTCATTTTCTTGGGTGTCCTCCCTCCCTCCCTTAGGAATCTAGTATACCTTAACTTACTTCGAACGCTTTAAACAACAGAGGGAAGACCAAATTAGCTCGGTAGGGAACCCTTTTGATACCGATACTCTTTATAATTTTCGCCCTCAATATAAACTGAACCCTACTTTTACAATAGACGGTTTTCATGTAAAAAAAATTATTTAATCACCATTTATGCTTAGTACAGTTTTAATACAGATCATTATTATATCTATCAAATCTTATACTTACGGCTACAGAGACTATTTGTTTCGTCACTTCCGTCATTGCAATTAGGAAGGCCGTCACATTTCAGGTCCTTATGAATACACATGGCATTTTCATTGCAGGAGAAACAATCTACAGATAATTGCAAAATGAGTTATGATAAGAGAAGTTGTATTTGAGATTTAAAAAATGAAAATAAATGTATGAATTTAGAACAAGCCCATGTATATGTCTTCTGTAGCATGTGATAGGCTTATTGTATTTTTTTAGGAGGTTACGGAATAAATTAAATTGTTAAATGATAAAATGTATTGGCTCGTCGATAGAGGTATGCTTGGCTTACTGATTTTATTATGTCCAGTCGGACAGTTTTAACGCATACGAATAGGCCTATCTTTTATAGCATAATAAAAAACAAAATGTTCCAACATGTTTAAACACAGATAATAGAAAAATCACATTGAAACCGAAAGTCTTGGCAGTGTAAATGTAGACACTGGGTTTGTAATCGCTTTGTTGCTCCTATTGTACGTCTTGTGTATGTTCTTGTGTCACACACAACATAGGCCTAAGTATAAACGGATATAATGGCCAATGGGGACGTCTGTTGTAAGTGAGGTTACGCGCGCTGTGCATCGGTGGCCAACCGAAGTCAGATGGTTCATTTTCAGTAAGAATCAGAGAAATATTTAATAGGAGTTAGAGTTTTTTTTTTTCTATCTTTAAGGATAACGAGGGTTCACCCTTACCTTCTGAAGTGTAATCCGGATATATTGTGGTATAAACAATAGTAAAACCAATGTTTTTTGAAATATTGTTGTCAGTGATAAAGCGAATTGTCATCTCATTGCCCGTACTAACGATGTGTTCGTAGTCTGACGGGACGGTGGTTCCGCATAGTCCGCGCATAGTCCCACTCAGCGTAAGGCTGGAGAACGCTGCCCCATCATACACCAAGACTTCATCCTGATAGCAGTTAACAGAGTCCTTGATGTCAAAGCTGTCGAAACGGATTGCTATCCTTAGTCCGGGCTTCGTTACTATGGTTATTTTGCAGTCGGAATTGTCAGCGTAACTATGGTGACCAGCGTGTGAGAAGATGATGCCACCAACATTTGAGATTCGTTGCCAACATTCGCCCTTGATGTCATGCTGAACATACGCTGAGAGATCGAAGTAAAAAACAATGATTAGTCTTTAATCAATAATAATAATAATAATAATAAAATTATGGAGGCCTAATATTAATAATAATAATAAAATTAATAGGCCTAATAAATAATGATAATACATAATAATAAATAATAATAATATTTAATAATAATGATATTGACGATGATGATGATGATAATATTAATCAAGGTCACGTGCCTATGAACACATTGACACGAAGTGTGATCTTTCAAAATTTTTCAACTATGTAGAGTGATATTAAAGTATAAATGCAATAAAACAGATTCGTGCAGTGTGTGCTGGCTATAAGCAAATGTATACATATTCGTCCAATATAGCAAGGCCATATTTATTATTCCTGAACATTCGTTTCTTATTATTATAACTAGACCCTAGTGTTGCATTTATTAACGAAATAACGATGACACTTGTGATGATGGTGGCCTTGGATTTGCACGTCGCAAGTACTTACAATTGAAGAAGGTGGTTAAGTGAGATGCGCTAATTAATAAATGAAAACTCTGACCATGAGGATATGACAAACAATTTAGGGGCTGTGGCTTTACAATATTATTGTAGAACCGTGTTATAATTATAGCTCCTTGGTATTAAAATATTGAACAGTTTAATGATATTACAGAAATTGTCGATTCAAATGACAACAAAACAATTATTCTTATATTTTAAATGCCAACAATTGATACCGTATTGTATTAATAAAAAATATTAAAGTAAAGTATTCCCTATTTTTTATTTTTCAGTAAATTGATGCACTATAATTGTTTGTTACTGCACAGAATGAACTAACAGCTCTATTATATTCTGGTTAAACAATGAAGTGGACGTTTTCGATTATGCAATCCGTGTATTTGTCTTCTCCGCCCCTCCCCTCACTCGGGGTTTATAAACACACTTCATATTATAGGAGTAATGTTTTGCCCTACCTGACGTATAATCGTACTGAATACTTAGTACGTCCCCAAATACTAGCGAAAAAAATTCGCAAGTGATTCGGGTGGGTAATGAATGTAACAAATAGGTCTATATCAACCATTTCTATTGAACTTCTGTTTACGTCAACTTTTTTTTTTTCCAACAACATTTATTTTATTTTAATATGACAGTCGTAATATAATATAGGCCTAACAATAGAGTAAATTATTTCGTGAAAAAATACCAATATGGAGGATCTATACCAGAAGAAAGCAGTTTCTTGTCGCGTATAAAACCTAGAAGAAAAATATTTACAACTAACATTTTTTTATCCAGAGTTTAAGTTTAGAAGCTAACACAATTATAATACCTGGATACTAGGAGAATCTTCATCAATCAACAACTACCGTAACTGTTCCCACGTATTTGGATTTCAGAGAACATTCAATAGGCCTATAGTTTTTTTTTTCTCGAATGCTAATTTAAGGACTGATTACATCATCGTCTAAATCAGCATTAATTGCATATTAAAATTAACCAGACCTTTGTAAATGACAGGACTAGGCCACAGAATTCCGTATACTGTACCAGGCAGTTAACGAATGAGTAATTCGTAATAATTATAAGCCTATTATCGTTCATGAACGAATTACATGCTTTATTTTGGACGGTAATTTATCATCATCATTATAATTGCATTCGAAGTAAAATAGACTGGAGGCCTACTAGTTTGTAATGGTAATACTAATAGTTAATACGATTGAGGACAATGTAATGTTACTTACAATATTAATAGTAACTGATATTATTTTTCATTTTGGATTATTAAAATACTACTCAAACTTTATTGCGCCTATAGGACGAAACCTTGTTTTAAAGGTGAGGTGCTGTATATTTTAATTAAAATTTTACAGATTGTTTCAAATTTAACCGAAGAAAAGTTATTAATATCTACAACCACCTTGTGATGAATTGAGGAAAATTTATTGTTACTGTTACAATATTAATAGTAAGTCTCTGATATTATTATCCGTTTTGGATTATTAAAACACTACTCAAACTTTATAGTGCCCAGATGAATCTTGTTTTTTTAAAGGTAAGGTGCTATATATTTTTATTTTTATTTTACTGATTGTTTCAAATTTAACCGAAAAAACAAATTATCCATTTCTAAAAACACGGGCTACCCTGGATGTCTCAATATCACCAAGTAGAGTTGTTCAACCAAGGAGGACCTATAGGTTTAACTTACGGCAATAAAAATCACAAAAGAATAAGGGTTAAAAACATGACTAGCACGTAAGACGACATGTTTACTTCGGCGACCAGCATTACATACAAACTTTGTAAATCATTGACATTAATTGTCTAATACCACTTACACCCATTGTTGCCATCATTAGTCATCATTATTGAACCCTTGATTGACGCCTGTCATTCATTTCACACGAAAGGGTGTGAACTGATTCTTCCGATTCGCCTACATGTCTTTTCTTAAGGAGAAGACACATTTACAATCCAATGACAATAGTGTTTATAGAACACTCCGGAAATGTATTTATCGTAATGAAGAGGCTCCCAAGTTTATCACTGTATTAAGTCAGCTGCGCTTTAAATTTATTTCGACATTCATATTCGTGTTTCCTCTAAGTCAAAATTTAAACAAAAATTATCAACGGGGTAGGCCAATGAAATTATTATAATTATTAATTATTAATGGGACTGTTCCCTATTTGAACTAATTACGAAACAGCAAGTGTTATGATATTTCGACAGCCGATCAAATCTTTAACAGTTGAATACAGAAGCCTGCTTAAATTTGCAAGGATATTTTGTATTGATTATAGACATAGCATCTCGTTCGATAATGTTTTTTTTCCTATTTTAATAGTGCCCTCGATGTGTATATAATTGAAATAAAAATCAAGATCTAGAGCGAAAGTTGAAACGTTGATCAATCGCATGTCAACAAAGCAATCGAATTTGATATTGAACCACCACGAGATTACATAGAAAGTAACTTTAGTAGTCGATAAGTTGCCATTTAGGCCTAGGCCCACTAAATGCTAACCTATCGGCTACGAAAGTTAAAGCGTTGATCAATTACATGTCAATATGCAAGTCTACTTTAATATTGAACCGTGAGAGTAGAATTTCAAACCATAAACAATCGTATTTTTCTAGAATTACTATTAAAACTAATAATTATATTGAGCCTACAGTGCGACTCAACAATACCAGGCCTTCATCTATGATTGTAGGCCTACAACAAAAATAGGAGATTAACTCGAAATGCTTAAAGTTTATGTTAATATTTATACTGTCATATTATAATGCAACATAGATTTGGAAACATGGATGATTAATTAACGACTAACCCACAGATCCTTATCATTGTGTGGATAAATCGGCTAACAAAAAATAGATGTATATTGAAAACGAAATAATAGGCATATACTTACAAATATTGTATCCAAACGAAACTTGATGAAGTAAACATAAACAGGTAATATATGGTAAAATATAAACTCCTTCCATAACGATGGTCTATGTAGAGTTGTGTGGCAGAATGGTCATTAAACCTTGCTTGGTCAACAGATAGGAAGAGACAAGCGACAGTGGTATAATATCGTTGGTTGTCAATCACTTCACGCTTCAATTAACATAACAACACTCAATCATTATAGATAACTGCTGTTCAATGCAGTTAACACACGCCCACTGACAGGCCTATTCATAAAAAAAAATGCTATATTGTCTCTTCTCATTGTCAAATTGCATGTAGGGCTACAAACTGGATCAATACATATTGCACTTTTGGGTTGTGTATTTTAAAAATTTAATTGAATAATTATTTTTTAAAGATATGAATATTTTAATAGTTAGTCCTAATGTGATATTATGAAGGGGTGCCAGCAGATGAATAGATCGACCTTTCCATCAAGGTGTCCTGGTGAGGCCAGGTATTGCAGTTTTTGTAAAAGAATGAACTGGCTCATCCACTCTACAGGAGACAGTCCCTGAGAACGCGAGCACATACAATATTCTCGCAGGGGGGAAACGCCTATTAACAGGTTGATCTGTTCTATTTTCTCTATGATAAAACATAGGCCTACTATTAAACATGCAGCCTTTGTTAAAAAACGGAGAAATCAACCTCCATGGTCACAACATTGATTTAGAAAAAACTCACTCAGAGAATATGCCCTGGTCTACCATCAATCAAAATAACATGTGGAAGTTAGATGTTGTTTATGACCGACCATAAATCTCGAAAAAAAAAAAATATAGGTTCATTTTTTCCCTCTATTTTATGGCAAACGTAAAAAAATATTTTATAAAGAAGCCATAGTAAAATAAACAGACAGTTGTTGGTATATATCTTTTTTACAGGACTCAAACAGACATTGTAATACATGGTATTGTGATGTTTTGAATAAAATTTTTAATGAAAATATATCTTAAAGGGTCTTTTGCATCCATTCATTGGATTTATTAGATTAGAAAGAACAAAAAATATTATGAATAAAATGAAGACAGCTAGGCCTATCATAAACAGATGCACTCACGCCATTGATAACATTTAATATTTTGAACAAATTTGGTGATACACAAACGAAAATACTGTATACTCTTATTTAACAACACTTATTTCGCAATAAATAGTTTCATTTTATTCACACATTAACGGCATACTTTTTTATTCAAAATCTGCCAATAATTTGACTTTGAGGAAACTTGTCTTGAGTAGGAAGGCGGGAACCTCCTAGCATTTGTTTCAGAATTCACATCATGTCTTCCAAAATATTGAATACTTCCTTAGCTGTTACAATAAAAAAAAATTTTTTTATTATTAGACATTTATATTATATAAAATGAACAATAAAACTTTAACATTGGCTATGTATATATTGTTTTTATTAATTTTATTTTAACTAATCACAACAAAGTAATTGACAAGGATATTGCAAGCTTAGATCTCAAATACACAAGGATTTATACAAAAGGGGTCATGACAAGAGTCGGAAAAGAAATCTTTTTTTTTTTTCCATTTCAATTAACAATGGCAACTACAAACACAACAATTCACACCAACCCACCAATTCTTTGAAGCATTCTATCTTACTTTGTGTTGCCATTGTCATTTACTTATTATACCTCTGTTAAGTGTATTTAGAAGCTTAATAACTTTGTGCCACCCCCCTGCCCCTCTGCCTCCTCCTCTACTGAAGACATATTGTTTCATTGTCAGTCGTCAGGAGCTGACCACAATTCATTTTCTATCATGATTTCTTTGCGTCCTGCTTGCATCCGGCAGAACACACACATGTCGACTCGACCACTAGATTCAACCTGCGATATCGAGAATGGCTTCCCACAATGCTGGCACTAATTGAGAAAAGGAAATATAATTATAGACCATATTTATATTTTTTTGTAAACCGATTAATCTTACACATTTACTGACAGAATATGTAGATCAATGTGTGTATGACAACTGCCACAAATACACATCAGAATTGAGCAGACAGTGGCATAACAAAAGAGGTCTGAGCACCTGGCTAATTAGGTTTCTTCAGGGCCCTACTACCCTGGAGAAAAAGCCCCACCCATGTTAGCTTACTTGATGTTTTCAAAAGCATCCTTATGTTTTTTTACCAAACGGTAATGTATGGGCAAAAAATGTTGATAAATATTCCAGGGCCTTTTAGGCCCTGGGGCTCCTGGCTTAATCCAGTGAGAGATCATAGCTGTTATGCCACTATATGTAGATAGCCTTCATGAGGGCCAGACCTTAGAAAATGATTCAATATTTTACCTTCACTATCTGCAACCCCATATTTCTTTTGTTTTCCAACACTAGAGGGATTTTATCACTGTTTGCAATGTTCCAAAGTCTTATTGTCTTGTCTTTAGAACACGACAGGATCCAATTCTGGTCTTGACTAAAATCTACATCAGTTACCCAATCAGTATGACCCTAAAAGTTAGAAAAACATTATTAAAACATACTACAATACTGTACTACTGAAATGTACCAGTCTTCATACACATATGTTATTTAAAGTAACTAAATGTACTTCAAATTGTTTGACACAGAGAATCTACATTGTTTTGCCATATCTTTCTTTCTTTGTTAATTAAATAGTAAATTTATATGTGAACATGTGTTTTAGCTTTTCAACATACTTTGCTATGAATTCTCTTTATGTCCATTCACTCTCATTAAACCTTATTATATTAATTCAATATTAATTTTAATGAACCCAATTCAGCACTTTTGCTGCCCTCTATTGGTTAAAAACTTTAGCTTTGCTTACTTTACACCATAGAGGGCAGCAGAGCACACAAACCATCAACTGTAGATTCAAAAGAACAATGAGTAATAATAATAAAATAAAATAACAATAGAAATAATTTCTTACCTTTAAAGTTAGCTTTGGCCCACAATTATCAGCATCCCATACAACTACAGTCTGGTCATAAGCACCAGAAACTAGTATTGTTCCTACAATATCGAAATCCCATAAAACATAATATACAAATTCATTTGTTTTATATACAGTACCTCATACATAGACTATATGAGACCTAAAAAAGTAATGAAAATAGTATAGACCAAGTATGCCTGGGCAATCTAACGGCCAATCGCTCCTTTAGCTTCATGTGTGTCATAAATTACATAGCAACGTGGCCTAGAGATTGCACATCACGCGGCAGGGCAAAGAAGTACTTTCTCCCGCTACTTAACCAATCAGATCCCATTGATTTATGAGGAACCATTGCTGATGATTATATACAGGTCTCCCTCTAATTAAAGACCTCTCCAATTAAAGACCACCTCCAAGCAAAGACCACTTAAACTGTGTTCCCAAATTAACAAATGTCTTTTACCTTTATTATTCTAATTAGAGACCAAAGCAGCTAAAGACAATTCCTTTTAAGATATTAGGAAATTAATAATCATCACTTCCTAAATATACTATAAACATACTGACCATCTTTGCTAAAGCAGCATGAGCTAATGGAACCTTCGTGCCCCTTGCTGAATGTGGTTGGCCCCTTACTGCGAAATATTCCTGTTGATACATCCCACACCTGAAGCTGTTTGTCCCATGACCCGGTGCAGAGACGTCTTTCATTGCTTGTAAAGCAACAGCACGAAATGACATTGCTGTGGTCCCTGACAGAATACAAATAATGCAAATGAAATACACATTAGAATGCGCATGGATAAGTAAAACAAAATGAGTTAAAACACACACGCTTAACTACATCATGCACACATAATGGTCCTTTTAGGGGTGTCAATCAAACTCAACAACTGGCTAAACAGAGCATGTTATTTAATAGCCAGTAATATGTCCATGTCCCACAAATATAAAAGTTTATGTACGCAATAGCCAAGAGATTTTGAACATAACATGCACACATACTAACAACTGCTTGTATAGTTATTGTTTGCAAAATTACAACGTTCTTACATAACTATCAGTGGCGGTTCTAGGATATATTTTCTGGGGGCGGGGGTGCTAAGCTGTCCGACAGGGGGACTTGAGCTTGTAGGCTGGGAGAAAGGGTTTGAGAGGGGATCCCCCTCCCAAATGAGACATTTTAAGAATGGGAACCTCTGGATAGTCGGAAATGGCACTCTCAGACTGTGACAGACATGTGTTGGCTTGGTGTGGGCCTATTTTTATATTTTTAATGGTCTGAATGCCTGATGAGCTGTCCGAATGGGGGCTTGATCTGTGCGGTGGGGGGTTGTCTCCCCTGCCGGTGCCGCTACTGTATATAATTAGGAGAGCCTGGCTCAAGCAAGGAAAATATAATAAATTGTATAAATAAATAATCTAAGACATTGCAGGGGAGTTTGAAAAAATAATTAGGAACAGCTAACAAGATACAGATTTTTCAATATTTTAAGGCTGGGGAAAAGGGGTGGAACACCCTAGTTTCATTAATATTTTCCCAGTTTTTGTGTTCACATGATCCTTACCCTAATGTTACAGTCGTCTGCTCGTTGATTCTATCCCATAATTTAGTTGACTTGTCCATGGAAGTTGTTGCTACTCTGTCATCATTCGGTGAAAACTTACAGCTGGTTATAGTACTTTTATGATGACCTGCAAGGAAATAATAAACTTGCTTTTTTATAAGAGATCCCTTCCTTTCTTAGTTTCTTTCATTTTCATAAATATTCTGCAATAATAAATTAATGTTATACTAGTTTATAATGCGTATCAGTAAAGTATTAATCAACAAAAAAAATGTGGATAGTTGCAAGAATTGAACCAGTAAAGTTTACAGCATTGTTTCAAACACTCTGTAACTGATCTGAACTAACAAAATTTAGTCGGCACTGGTTGTTTCTAAAGAAGAACCTTCTTTGCTCACAGTGAGGGTGATTTTCTGAACAATTTTTGAATGTCTGTGTCCTTGTCTTTAACCTTTTCACCCTAAAATTTAATCATCATTTTATTAGATGAGTATGTATCACTCCACTAAATTTTACGATGATCCATCCATTAGTTTTTGTATAATCCTGCTAACAGACAGACCAACACCCCAACAGAGATAACTACATAACCTCATTGGTGGGTGTAATTTAAACAAGAATAGCCACTGGTTAAGTACATTTAAAATGCAAAATGATAGGATTGAAGTATTCATTAAACTAAATTTAGTTTTTACAAGCATCTTGTTTTATCAATCTTGGGCTTTTTAAGTAAAAAAAAATCACAATATATAACAATATGTAAAGGTCCTGGACACACAACACAAAACTATCATGGTACAACTCATATGGTCGTTTATATATCTATAAAAACACATGCAAAGATCAATCACTGTGGGCTGTATTTGGTTGGTTAAGACACAGTAGGGTGTAGCCTTCATCAGTACTGACTTGGATGTGATACAAATCACTTTAATCTCCTATTTCCTGCGAGTAATTAGGCCAGTAGCCTACCGTACAATCATTCTAGCGGTGGCGCTGGATAACCAATGGCATGCTGTTAATAACGCAAACCCGCACTTAACCTTAATAACCTATTCTTATGCCTTAATCAATGATATGCATGGTATTTGAAGATGCTATGGTAGAGAGTGGTGCTTAATATGCAAATGTCTCTAGACTAATATCACCTTCCTTAGGATGTGTATATAAATGTTTTTATGTCAAAAACAAATTACAGCCAAAAACATGGTTAATGGTTAATTGAAGGATATTTGTAGAGCGCCTTTTACAACAAAATCGTCTCAAAGCGCTGAGAGTATTCAGACCACAGATCATAGTTAAAAAAACATTAAAGAAAAATAAAGAAATATTAAAAACAACAAACAAGCCATTCAAGTAATGAAGTGAGACGGCAGAAAAAATTGACATTAAACAAAGTGCAAAAATGAAAGGAAAGGAAAATGCACACTCCCGATGTTGAGGAGCCATCACCACCACAACAGTGTACACACAGGTACCCCGGCGACAGTATGCTGGGCTCCAGTATGCTGGGCTCCAGTAACTTCCACCTTGAATAAGCCTCGGCTCTACTACTGTGCACTGCTAACTAGCGACGCCGGCTCAAGTAAGGGAGTTATGACTTCAAGGTGAAAAAAATCTTTAAAAGTACAAATAATGAGAAATAAATGTACGTGAAAAGACATCCCAATGATGACATAATTAATGTTGAAATACTGAATCCCGACACGATGTCATGCATTTCAATACTTGGAGTATGTGTTATACTTTCTTATCTGAGGTTAATCAGTGGACCTTTTGGTTTTTGAAAAGACAACTGTGCACAGAATATTATCATTATAATCATCAACATCCTCTCCATCACTGCAACCAACACTGTCACCATCATCATCATATAATTACAGGAACTTTATTTCCTTTGTTAATATTTTTGTTGTGACCATTATTATTTTTTAGAACAGAACAGGAATAAGTGCACGTCTAACAAACACACATGTTGTTCCACAAACACAAATGTTTGCATAAAAACACTATCGTTGCATGGGACCTTACAGGGGCAGATCCAGAGCAGTTCGAAGGGGAGGAGGTATGAATTGAGAGACAACACTACCTTGGGGGCTGTCTCTTATAAGGGGCCTAATAGCTATAGCCTTACACTTACTGAGTTTTCTTTCTGAGAGTGTCATCCCTATTTCTGCAGGGTCTTCCCTACAACAGTCAGAGTGTCATCATCGGTTGCACTCTTATACCCGATTCACACGTGAAGTTAAATTTAACAAAAAGTAACAAATTGTAACCGAGCAATCTCCCGAGTTATTCCTACCGAGATAAAAAGCATTCACACGCGTCTGTAAGGTAATGCCAAGGTCGTGTAAAATTTATTCAGTGTTTATTCAATGAATCATTTTTTCCTTTATTCAATGAACCATTTTTTCCCCTACTGCGATATAGGTCTAGCCTAGGCCTAGTTGAGAACCCCTGTCACAGATGGACTGTTGAACTCACCATCACAGTAAACATTCGAAGCAATCAATGCCCTTAACAACTGCTGTACTGCTACTACTAGGCAACTAAACTAAAAATACTAAAACTAGGCATAGCTTCCAACGTTTCTGTCGATTCTTGATAATACTAGTAATAGTACTAACACCATCCCGACGTTCATTTTATGTATATCTTCTTCTTCTACCATTACTAATTAACATCAATAACAAGGGAAATTCATTCATCATTGAGGAAAACTAGGCCTATCTATTTCTAGTGGAACAGAATCATCTGCAGAAGGAAGAAAATTCAAGAACCCCGTGAAACACAGTAGATTGTTGTTGTGTTGAAATCCCTGCGCATGCGCAGATCCATCCATGCTCATCTCGGAAGCTTTACCAGCCTCAGCGAGGCTGGTAAAGATTACCGAGACGTTCCGAGATTTTACAAGGATATTACACAGAGGTACTTTCACACGTGCCGTAAAATGTTACTTTTGGTTACATTTTGTTACATTTGATAAGATTTTTGTACGTGTGAATCGGGTATTAGGCTAATTTGATTGGAATTCCACTATTCCAATTTGATAGGATTTTTAAATTTGTTAATATTTTTGTTGTGACCATTATTATTTTTTAGAACAGAACAGGAATAAGTGCACGTCTAACAAACACACATGTTGTTCAACAAACACAAATGTTTGCATAAAAACACTATCGTTGCATGGGACCTTACAGGGGCAGATCCAGAGCAGTTCGAAGGGGAGGAGGTATGAATTGAGAGACAACACTACCTTAGGGGGGGGGGGGTCCAGACATGGCCCCGGGAAATTTTTGCTTTCTAGATGCATTTTTTAGATGATCAATAATTTCTCTTTCTTTTCCCTCCCAAAAGTGTGGCCAGGGCAGCCCCCCCCCCCACTAAATTCGCCCCTTCCTTATGTAATAATATCCAAGGAGCGGGAATAGCAGAAAGGTCCTTTTACAGAATTACAAATGACACCATACCTAAAAGTGACTGCTAATTAAATATAATGTAAATGTATGTAAATGTAAAGGTACATATACTGTACAGTCCTTGTTGAAAATCAACAAGGAAACTCGGATTAGGCTCCCAGCTACCCACGCTGGTCTACATGATTAGTAAGCTGAGTGATAATTCAAGGATTTTCTAGTTAAGCCCTGTCCAGATTATCACATTTTATTTGACAAAAACATGTGACACGCCTGAATATGATTATGATGACCTCAAATCACGACCATATAGGCACATCATGACTGTATATGGGCATATCATGACCATATATAGGCACATCATGACCATATATAGGCACATCATGACTGTATATGTGCATATCATGACCATATATAGGAATATCATGACCATATATAGGCACATCATGACCATATATAGGAGCATCATGACTGTACATGTGCATATCATGACCATATATAGGCACATCATGACCATATATAGGCACATCATGACTGTATATGGGCATACAAGAAAATCTGATAGTGTGGACAGAGCTTAAGACAAGTAAATCAGCAAAAACTGAATCGTTTGGATAAAGGGCGGGTTATGGGGGGGGGGCATGCCAGCCCCAGCACCCTTCCCCACTTTTGGAAAGTAAAAAGAAAAAAAATAAAGAAAAATAAATTATTAAATTATTAAACGCTTCTGAGGTTATTTCCAGGCGTCTAGAAAATAAATATTTCCCGGGGACCCCTAGGGTAGAGTTGTCTCTCGATGGGTTCCCCCCACCTTTTTCAGGACTTTTTTGGATCTGCCCCTGATTTGATCTTTTTTTTAATGAGATATTCAATTTTTCTATTGAATGTTTGATGGATTTCCAGATTTTTCTGTTTTTCTGTTGGTAATTAATATATATACTTTAATAAAGCTATGTCAAAAACATGGAATTCATTTTGGCTAGTATCAACAAATAAAAAAGAGTCAGAAAAAGTACATATAAATCTTATAATTATACCGGATCTCGATCCTCCTCCATCATTTGAACTATTCATTCTGGCATGCCCTATCCAATAAAAAAAAATTGAAATCTCAGCTTAATTACAGTAATAAATTAAATAATCTCTAATCACTGATGGCTAAAAGAAACAATTTTAAAAATTGTTAATGAGCTGGGCCTTAGTCATGTGAGGTTAATGACCTTTCACTGTATTCATTTCTCTGCATTTTGTCAGTCAA